AGTACACAAGCCACGGTTAAGACAGCTGACTCTACTGTGATGTATCTCGCTCTCTCTCTCTTGCATGCACACACACACACCTCTCTCTCTCGCTCTCTCTCTCGCTCGCACGCGCACACACACACACACACACGATGCGCAAAACTCCGCATTTGAACAGTCAATAGCAAATACTTAAACTAATAACAAAACAGTAGCTGATTCAGAAGCGTCAGATTGTCATAGCAAAGTCAGAATTACCTCCTCTCCTAGGTTCACGAAACGGTCGTCCATAAAATGCATTGCGGCTCTGTTGTAAGTATTCTTAAAGATTCCTAAATGCATCTACTTTCGGAAGGCCAAATTTTGCTTTCTTGCTTTCGCCTAGAAACACACAGCGTCTCCCTGACATGCTGCTTCAACACTAACTGCGGTTACTGAAACCTTTCTTTGCGGCATTACGCAAATATTTCCACATAGTGAGGTAGATATGTGGGGGTGTGTTAGAACGAGCCGTTTTAGGGGGGCGTGGCAGAGTCTTAACTTTGATAAAGAATATCTCTTTGGTTTTGAGACTTTAGTCTTTGCAACTTCAGGGATCTTATCTATGCACAATCAGCTTGTAACACTCCAAAGAGAAAGGAAAACATGAAATCGCATCATATGACTCTTTAAATGAAAAATGTACTCTGTGTGATTGGCTTTCGGCTCTTCGTATTAAATTATGCATACATACATGATGCTGTTTTGTTTATAGTTGTTTAAGCAACTTAATTATAATTGGTTTATGAACATTATTTTAAACATTATGCACTTTTTTCACAGATAGTCATGTTATCTTATGCTTTGAATAAACGTGCATTAGTAATATTTTGCTCGATGTGCCCTCTTGTGGCCTCAGGAGAGAAGCCAAAAGCTTTTCTTCACCCTGACTGAAATGATGCATTTTAAATTCGAATATAATTTGAATTTTGATAATATTTAAGTACACAATTTGAATTTCGTTTTTCAGCCATTTTGACAGCCCTAGTTTCTACTAATGTTTGATATCGCTCGTCTCTCTCATAGGGCTCTCTGATTGCCTGTGAGTTCCTGCTGCAGAATGGAGCAGATGTCAATCAGAGGGACGTACGAGGACGGGCACCTCTGCACCACGCCACGTGCCTGGGTCACACAGGGTAAGAAATGACTCACAGCTGTGGCAAACCACACATAAAAGTTCTGGTCCGAAATAGGGGTGGAACGGTTCACGGAAAAAATCTAACCGTACGGTTCTCCACACATGGTTCAGCACGCGCTAGGACCGCGGTTCAACTTAAATCTGACAACACATCTGTAATATGGTTTGCTATAAATAACACGTAAAACAAACAGGGTTCGGCTAATATGGCTTCCCAATACATTACGACAACAGCGATGAAAATAAATAAATAATAAAACCCATGGACAAACCATTCACTCTTGTTCAGTGCAAATGCTGGAATACGAGCAGCCATTTATTCTGTCATCACCCAGGTACTGATAGCACGCGCGCACAGGTGAGACCTGAACAGCACATGTTGATCTCTGTGTTAGAACGCAAAGATTTGTGCGTGCGCTCATCCAAAGCGTGCAAACCCGCGCCTCAGAACGCATGCAAATATTTAGCTTTCTCTGAAGTATTGTGTTTAAATGGACAAATTCACACAAAAATTATGTCAAAATGCCCATCTTGGTAAGTATCCCATAGCAGACATAGCCGGCTGAACGTACTGTATCAGTGTATTCTCTTACAGCACTTTCTTGATATTAATCAAACGGCAACAACAAAGAAATCACTCACTGCTCTTGATTGAATAGCTTTTGTAACTTTAATAAAGATTAATCTTTAATTTATACAGTCAAATATGCAATGAAAATTGTTAGACCTACCTAAAAAAATACCGTTAAATAAAAATAAAGAAAATAAGAAAATACACCGATCGATCTGCACACGCAAACAAAGCCAAAACCTAGATATTTTAGGCAATATAGAAATATCTTGCCCCTATTTTGAGTGCCGGGTTTTGTTAGCTTAGCCACATGCTAACATCAAACTGTATCGTCAATCTGTGAGACAAATTTATCCAAACCTCAGTAATTTGCAGATCTACCTCTGAATAACTCATCATTTAACCCTTTGTGTACTGCATGCGTGTGCCCACAGACAGGTGTGTTTGTTCCTGAAGCGAGGAGCCTCTCAGATGGAGGTCGATGAGGATGGGCAGGACCCTCTCAGTATCGCTGTTCAGGCAGCCAACCCAGACATCGTCACATTGTGAGTCAGGAACTTCACTTCCCTTTGTAGATTCTCCCCGAGTGTCACTGCACATGAAACAATGCTTGTGTTCTCTCTCTCGGTCAGATTGCGGTTAGCCCGGATGAATGAGGAGATGCGAGAAGCGGACGGGCCCTTCGGACAGCCAGGTCAATACCCCAGCAGCAGTCCCACAGAGCAGCAGTACAGAAAGTGTATTCAGGAGTTTATCTGCCTCTCGATTGACGAATGCTAGGGGGCGCTGTTGAGTGCTGACACACTGTGGGGAGAACTACCTAATGGCGCTTTTCCACTGCGTGGTACGACTCGGCTCGGTACAGCTCAATACGGCACGCCCCCAAAAGTGAACCGTACCGAGCCGTACCGTGCAGTGGAAAAGCGCCATAAGTTTGTAGCCCTTAGCAGGAATAGCTTTAGCAAGGATCGAGTGCTATCTTCAACCTCCTCCCCACCTGACCGATTAGTTTACACATTGTGTTCGTATGTATGTATGTGGTTAACACAAAATATTGAAATGGAACGGCTATTTACAGTATGCGACGGCTAGAGCGCTGTTTTGAATGTGTATCATTCAAACGCGACGTTAATCGTGATTAATTGATGGATTAAAAGCCTAATGGAATTTGTTTCGAATGAGTTCGAATTCATTAGCAATTCAAAATAGCATTTCACAGTCTTATTGAGTCATTATGTGCAAAATATGAATGTGCGCACTTTTCCTACCGACAGTATTTGTTTTGTTTAGTTTTTTTACAACTGAATTCTTGTAAATGTTGTTTGTTGTGTTTTTAATTTATGTTCCGTCCTGAGGATTAGTGCAATGATAACTGGAATACGGAAAAACCGTTCCAATTGTAAATGTCTCGTTTAGTAAAGAAAGAAGGTGTTTACGTTTGACTAACTAAACTTTTCGTCTTTTACGTTTCAAAAACACATCGGACTCCCCTCATATGCTAATAAAACGGGTGTTTTGACCCCTTTAAGAGATGTCAGCTATTCAAAATTATTTATAGAACTTATAGCAACCGTCTGTTTTATATATTTGTACTTGTATTGCCAAGCTCCCAAATGACTGTCATGTGATTTCTTTTTTTAAGTGAAATGCTTGTCTATCGCAGTCTGTCTGTAGAAGCAGTCTGCATTTGCATGCGTTTACTCGCTCGCATACCAAGGCAAAGTGCCTGTCTGCATTAGCAAGCATGGTTCCTTATTTTAGCCACCTGATTCTGTCATTATGTAAAAATGCATGACCGCAGAAGACATCTGCGCCGTGTTGTCCATTTTTTTGCCCACGTTTGGTTCAGATGATCCCAGTTCTAAGAGTACGCCATCAGAATCCTGTCTCTCTTTCTAATGCCTGAAAAAAATGCGTCCAAATATGCCTACTTCCATACTATATAGTAGGTGAAAAACCGTATGAGAGCTGAGTAGTATATCTGAATTCATAGCATTCATAAAACAGTCAAAAAGTTGACCTACTACTTGCGGCGAGATTCTGAAGTGCACATCTGATGGACACTTTACTATCCCATGAGGCCAGTGAAGTGACACAACTGACACTGTAGGTCACATGGCGGATGTAGTACGTATTTGTCACATTCATACTTTTTTAACAGTCACGAAGCAAGTTGCAAACCAAATTTAGTACTACAGTGTTCGATTTTGGATACCTCACTTTTCTTAAGCAGTTAGCACTATGCTAAGAAGGCTAAGCTGTTAGCTTGCCAAGTATAGGCTAACAGAAATAAAGAATATGACCATTTTTAGCTTCAGTAATGAAATATAAAAATTAGAAGACGTTCATTAACATTTTAATGATTAAGACTACAAAGGATTTCTAATCGGGCAATGAATAAAGTACCCATAACAAATTGTCTCAGCTAAAAGAATAACTTTGGGGAGTAAGGGGGATAGGATTCTGTGTGACACCGCCATCTGTGGGTGGATTTTTGCAAGTAAAGGTGAAATATGTAAAAAATAATAATAATAATAGTATTGGCCATTTCAAACCAAACACGTCTGCAGTTGGTCAACAAATAAAGTCCCGCCCCCACACTTATGCTATTGGTTGAGCCACTGTTGGTATGTCAGGCAGGTCGGATGCTCAAACAGAGCAATGTTTTGATAGATTGATCGAGTGTTTATGCTTTTCGGGGGATTCAACCTACAAATGGTTGACTTAGTTTCTTCATATTAAAGGCAGAGTAAGTGATTTCTGGTAGCCAATGTTGATATTTGAAATCACCAAAACAAACACGCCCCTACCCCAAAAGGGTCTTGCCCCTATTTTGATAGCTCCGCCCCCAAACATACGTACACAACCCAGGCAACGATTAGTTCTGAGAAACAAAGCAAAACCAGTGTTACACCATGTCTACGGACGTGAGCGGCGCGGCGCGACAAATCCCCGACAGAAAACTGCTGCGGGGTTCTATTTATGACGTGCTGACACAAATTTCAAATGGTTTTCAACGGTCGTTTGATCGCGTCCAGTGTAGGCAGACTTTAGCTGTTGTAGACACGGTGTTATCCTCACCTATCGAGAAGAAGCAAAGCAACCTCGCCGTGCGATCGCAGGCCTCCGCTCCCTGAGTTCTCTCCAGCGCTGGAAAGCTGATCCGATATTTACACGGGTTCTACTTCTTGCCTTATCGTTCCGCAGACGTTTTCCTCTTTTGTTTTTTATTCGCCATCTCTATCTCTCTGTCGCTCGGTTCGGCTAATGTCCGTCCCGTGCACTGAACGCTCTCTCCTCCACATCACGAGTAGACACGCCCCTTACTGCTGATTGGCTACAAGTTTGTTTTGCTATTCGGCCCGAATCAGTTTTCTAAAGCGTTTTTGAAAAATCACATACCCTGCCTTTAATCTGACACAGAAAAATATTCAAACATTGAAAACAAAACGACACACTTCACCTTTAAACAGGTAGGCTACAAAGCAAAGAATATCTTTTCAGTGCAAATTTTCATCTCAATCAAAATGTGCTTGGAGAAAGGAAAATGTAATTGTACATCTTCAGTTGTTTTACAGAAACATTTGGTCAGCTGAAATTTAGCTTTTAATATCTGAAAATAGAGACCGTGTATAGAATAGATAGTCGCCAACGAGGGACCAGTTCAGTCGTTGTGTCTGGATGTGTTTTTAACAAAGTTGAACTGAAAAATGCTTCTGTGCTGTGAATATGCTTTGACCTTTGAACTGTTCTCAACTGCTTGCGCTTTCTCTCTCTCTCTCTCTCTCTCTTCGTTGAGCTGTGGTTCTTGCATTCGGACCTTTAACTCGTTTTCTCTTGCAACATTCGGTACAATCTGTTTTCACACTGTTAGATGACATTCTGTGTTTGGAGACATTCTTGTATTGTTATTGTTTGTACGGCAGAAATCTATAAAAAGAAGCTTGTCTTTTGAAACACTGACAAACAATAAAACAGACAACGTCTTGAGCTGGTATTTCTGCTCTGCTCTTTCTCTCTTGTGACATGCTCTGCATCAGTCTGAGATTCCTTACCAACAGCTGTGTGTGTTTAAGGAATTTCGAAGGCTTTTGCAGACCGTGAGGGGTGGGGGTGGGGGGTTTTCACCCATAATGCAGTTTTCCCTTAATAGAGATGATTTCTGTGTTTATTGTCATTTATATTGTGATGGCAACATTGTCTTACTAGGTATTATTCCTCTTTTAGAACCCAGTATACCTGCGAGTCCATTGAGGGTAAAGCGCAAGAGTTCACGAGTGAGTGATGTTACAGACTGTTCACTACTGGGTTCGGGTCTTTCACTTGTAATGGTGGTTACTTTACGGGTCTCTTACTTTAAAAAGGTGACTGTGCTTATACTTGTGTGCTAATAAGTGATTGACTCAATAAATCTTGAAAATGCTGCTCATCAATAAGGCCTCAGAGGAAACCTTATTTTTTTCTCACTTTTTCTCTTCACAAAATCACATTGGGTAGTTGACAAATTTCCTAGAATTTTTCAAATGTACACTTTATATGCGTTTATACACCATCTATCAAACATTTGGGATTGGTAATATTTTTAAAAACATTTTTGAACGAAATCTCTTATGCTCACCAAGGCTGCACTTATTTATCAAAAATACTGTCATATTTTGAAATATTACATTTTTGTGATGGCATTACTCCAGTCTTCAGTGTCACATGATCCTTCAGAATCATTCTAATATGCTGATTTGCTGCTCAAGAAACATTTATTGTTATAGAATTAGAAAACTTTAGATGCAAATGTAATGCATCAAGTATTAAATAAATGCAAGTATCAATTTATTTAAAAAAATTACTGTCCCCAAACTGTTGCGTGGTTCTGTATGTATATTCTATATTACACACATTGCACTTATGTCTAATAATAATTGTGTAAGTTAAATTGTATATTTTAAATTCTGTTACTGGACACTATTTCTTTTCAAATGTTCACTATATTTAAATATGTTTTCTCAAATAGTTATGTGTGCTGATTTTTACTTTAAATATAAATATTCCATATAGTCTCATAATCTAAGGACATAAAATCCATTTATAAAAATTGTAAAAAAAAAAATAGTTTTAGATTAAGTATGATATGTCTTCTCAACATCTCATGTCAACTGCCCAATTATTGATTTATTTATTTTTTTTATTATGGGGAGGTTTTGCAGTATGCTGGGATATTATATGATATTATGTTACACTACAATACATTATATTCTATTATTACAGTAATAAAAAGTCACGTCCTGGTGTTCCTGCAGGGCAATAGCAACAGAACAGGGACTTGACTGGTGTATACTTGAAGTCTGCTAACTTGTTTCACTTTGCAGGCATCACCACGTGCACTGTCATCTTTCGGGAGTTTCCGCACATGGCTTTACATGCCTCCAAAACACTAACCAGCTGTCCTGCTTAAACCAGACGCCCTCAGAGACTCTAGCAGGACATGAAGGACTGTGATGAAGATTCTACTCATCTCAAATAATAATATATGACAATATTTAAAGAAGAACTTGGGGATGGTGTTCGGTTTTAACAACATGGATTGATTGGGTTTTAGATTTGGTCCTTTCCTAAGCTTAAGTTTTTGTAGTTCTTTTATGTTATTTTAAAAGTTGTCATCCCTTGTGTGATCTGGGCAGAGTTAAGCAGCTTTGATTCCCAGGGTTTGGTTTCCAGGATTTGCTTCCCATATTTAAAGAGAGATTTATTCAGAATTCTTGACGTTTGCGCTATCTGTGAATTTTAACTATGTGAATAAAAAGTCTAATTCACATGGCACCATTCTGTATTTTATCTATGAGGACAGTGACATCTAGTGAGCCTAAGCTACACGGGACTGGATCAAATAGTTCAATAATTATGTTCTTGAAGGATAACTTAGATTTTGATATCAACAACTGGAATATACACTGGCAGTGATTTTGGTTTTAGAAATATTACTTTCTGCAACAACTTTGCGACTTCAACCATCAAAATTTGAGAAAACATCCAAAATCATGTTCAAGGAAGAATTTGTAACATTTGAATTTTTGATTATCAATTTTTAGAATTTGATCTAATTTTTTCAACTTTATTTCAAAAGTTCAATTTTTGGACCTTTCAATGGCCTAATTTTAAAGACCCCATTCAATGGCTTGACGAGCCATTTCATTTTCTTTCCCATGTTGTCGTAAGTTGGGGCAGGACATTTTGCTTATATAGCAATTGCTGTCTTGTTTTATAATAGGTAGAGACCCCTCATTTGAGATTTTGCTTCCTAAAATGATGGTTGGTTTATCCTAGTTATTAATTACCGGTTATTGTCAGAAGGGTTTTTGAAAGGCTTTTGGCATTAGACATAAGCATATTTACAAGGATAAAGTGTGTCATTATATATGTTGTCAAAAAATACATTCAGACAATCAAATAAGTGACATTTTATGTGTAATCTAAATCACTTTTGTTTTAATGCCCATTCAATGGCTTGACGAGCCATTTCATTTTCTTTCCCATGTTGTCGTAAGTTGGGGCAGGACATTTTGCTTATATAGCAATTGCTGTCTTGTTTTATAATAGGTAGAGACCCCTCATTTGAGATTTTGCTTCCTAAAATGATGGTTGGTTTATCCTAGTTATTAATTACCGGTTATTGTCAGAAGGGTTTTTGAAAAGCTTTTGGCATTAGACATAAGCATATTTACAAGGATAAAGTGTGTCATTAAATATGTTGTCAAAAAATACATTCAGACAATCAAATAAGTGACATTTTATGTGTAATCTAAATCACTTTTGTTTTAATGTGCAAAATGTGTGCATATTTCAGTTTTTTTTTTCCTAAAAAAGCAATAATATTTGGTATGTTTTCATATGGCAAGCCTTCCCTCTGATTAAAAAGTAAGGAAAATGTTAGCTTACTACCACTCCTTATTAAATCAAAAGTGACAACAGACTTTGACAAATTGTTCCCTTCATTTTCCCTTTCTCTTAAGTCACTACATTAACTTGTGACTGCGGGACTTTTCAGAATTGACTGAAAGCAGGTTCACACATGAAACTGAGCCATTTACAGATATTCACCTGAGACTGGACACACACACTCTTCACACCTTCATCTGTTCTGAATTCACTCAAGAGGTGAGTATGGGATGCATTTACGTGCATTTTAAGACGCTACGTAAAAAGTGTCTTTTATTCATATGTATCATTATAACACAAAATAGAACAGCACATCCTGTCAAATGTATTATAATTATTTTTATGTTCCCCTGAGAAAATGTGTGTTTCTCACAAAATTGAGTTCCTCCCTAAGAAAATTAGCTTTCTTTAGAAAAACATATGCGTTTGTTCTCTAGCAAAACTATTCTGTTCAAACCAGGAAACTTCGGTGTTCTCTTGCAAAACTATTCAATTTTCTCGTAAAAAAAAAAAATGTTTGGTTCCCCCAATAAACCTTGTTTTCTCATAAAAAATGTCTCGTTCCCTGAGAAACTTGTCTTCTTTAGAAAAACATGCGTTCTTTTGCAAAACCTTTCTCTTCCCCTGTGAAACTTTGCGTTTTCTCATAAAAAATGTTGCGTTCCCCCCAAGAAACTTTGATTTCTTTAGAAAAACGTGTGTTCTCTTGCAAAACCTTTCCGCTCCCCTGTGAAACTTTGCGTTTTCTCATAAAAAATGTTGCGTTCCCCCCAAGAAACTTTGATTTCTTTAGAAAAACGTGTGTTCTCTTGCAAAACCTTTCCGCTCCCCTGTGAAACTTTGCGTTTTCTCATAAAAAATGTGTTGTGTTCATCCCCGATAATCTTTGATTTCTTTAGAAAAACATGCGTTCTCTTGCAAAACCTTTCTCTTCCCCTGTGAAACTTTGCGTTTTCTCATAAAAAATGTTGCGTTCCCCCCAAGAAACTTTGATTTCTTTAGAAAAACGTGTGTTCTCTTGCAAAACCTTTCCGCTCCCCTGTGAAACTTTGCGTTTTCTCATAAAAAATGTTGCGTTCCCCCCAAGAAACTTTGATTTCTTTAGAAAAACATGCATTCTCTTGCAAAACCTTTCCATTCCCCTGTGAAACTTTGCGTTTTCTCATAAAAAATGTTGCGTTCCCCC